GCTAAGCAATATTAATGAGGTTGTTAAGGATATTCAGACATTTTTTTCGAACAAGGCATATCTTTAAGGACGAAAAATCTACACTCTCTAAGAGACGATTTATATTTGTTTACCCATAAAAATTAATCTTGTATCACATCGGTTAGAAACAAAGAATTAAATGGCTTTATAAGGCCAACTTAATTATCACAGTTAAAATCAATTCAGATGGGCCACGAGAATTGGATTTTTGAGCCTATGACACCCATGCCAAAGCCACTCTGCGCGCCACCCTTGCCATCAATTCCAAAATTTGGCTAAGTGTTGGAACCACCCGGGGGTGGGCATCATACCACCACCCCTAGGACGTGGCAAGGGGGTGACCACCATCATACCACCCCCCAGGACATGGCAAGGGGGGTGGCAATCATACCGCCACCCCACCCCATGACGTGATAAGGGGTTGGGCATCATACCGCCACCCCCATGATGTGCCAAGGGGGGTGACCATCATACTACCAACCTCGGGACGTGGTAAGGGGGGTGGGTACAACCGTTTATAGATCTGATCATATATGTATTGCCATTCTATTTTGTATTACAGTAACTATTTATATTATTTATTACAATACTACTTTATTATTACACTAAAGAAGAAAGAAAAGGGGGAGTTTTTGAAATGCGAGATCTAAACACATATAAGTACTTTATGGTTCCACCCAAGGAGGTGTCAAGGTGGGTGGACACCACACAGCCCCCTAGGACGAGGAGGAGGGTGGTATGGCGGAGTTGGATGGTCGAAGGCAAGGGGCCCCATGGTGTGATCACGGGTATGATCACCATACTCCTTATTGTGGTAAGGTGTGGTAGAAATTTGGCTAAGTATGGAAGATAACGAGGATGACAAGAAGCCACCCCCATGAGGTGGTCATGGGGATGGCCATCGACACATGCCCCCAGGGGTGGCCATCAACACATGCCACCATGGTGGGTGATCACCATACCCTTTAGTGTGGTGAGTTGGGTTGGAAATTTGGTTAAGTATGGAAGATTATGTGGATGGCAAAGAGCAACCCATTGAGGTGGTCAAGGGGCCACCAACATACCAATCCCCATGGTATGATTAGGGGGTGGGGATCAATCCATGAGGATCAGAGGGGGGTCACCCCCTAGTATGATGAGAACGAGTGAAATTTGGCTAAGTATAACCCCCTTGGAGATGAAATTTGGCTAAGTATGCCGCTTTTTTAGTGGTGAACAATTTTTACCATTTTTACTATATGTGATCCCAACCCACCCACATGTAGCAAGGGGGTCTTCACGCCTTCTTCATTTTTCTCAACTGGCATAACTATTAAGGTGAGGGGCCAAGACTGAAGAAGATACAACCACCAATGGCAGAGCATAATCGAAGCAGTCGAGAAGGTAACCACCACTCCACGTCAGCAGAGCAGTTTCTCGACGCAGTTACTTCTGGTGGCTATAAATAGGAGGTGAAGATGATGGAGAAAAGGTTCGCCAAAATCACACCAGACAACACAATGTCAACTTTTATCCTTTTATCTTTTCCTCTGCAAATTTAGCCATAGTTGTAGTTCTGGAGCTCTCACTGAACCTCCATAGGAGTAGAATTAATGTAATTTAGTTTGCCTCGTAGTTCATCAAGAACATTGAACCCCCTTGTTTGAACTTTGTTCAAAGCGGTGTAGACCGTGTTTGTTAATCGTTTGTTTGGAAGTAAAAAAGGTGCAAAAATCCAATTCTGTTCATCTAGATTTTTCTCGCCGGGAAAACAATATTGCAAAATATTTATTTGTTTGATTAAAATTCTTATTAACCGACTCTCGTTTAGCTAAATCTTGTTCAAATAGGGAAGGACTGTTCAATAAATTTTGGTAAGGGATCAATTTAATATATGATAACATCCTTATAGTACTACTCCGATAAATTTTATGAAAATCTTATGTTTTGAGAATCTACTCATTATGATGTTGTACCGGTGGACTAGAAATATGATAGGATAAATAGACACGTAATATCATTAAGCTTTTGCTCTTGGGTGGCTGAAAAACAACTAAAACAAAGGAAACTAGTTTTGGTAAACTCAAAGTGAAATTACTGGAGCATATGCTTAGTTTGTATTTTGTAAAAAAGAGATGGAGAAAAAGCGAAAGGTTTTAAAGGGCTTAGAACATGCTTGGCTTGTTAAAAAGCGTTATATTTACAAAAAGCTATAAGGGTAAGGGAGATAGAATTTTTAACTTTTTTAAAAGACTAAACCAATTTTTATCGTGGGCTAGTTTGAATTGGATAAAAAGTCCCCTTTGTAAAATTTCTTTTTTCCTCCTCCCTTTTCTTTCTCTTGTCTTTTAGGGGAGCTTTCTTTAATTTCTGGGATTGACCATTACACTATTTGATAGAATTTCAACTCTATTGCCTGTGCTTAAAAATATGTAGTGAAACTTTTTTTGCTTTGTTTTGAGAGCCTTTGAGCTTGAGGTTTTTTTTTTTTTTTTTTATATGGATCCTTTGAGCTTGAGCTTTTGAAAGGGCCCCGACTGACCATATGGCAAACAATGATTAAAGAGGCACATTAGTGTTACCTCTTTTGTGAGCATGACCACATCAAAGTGTTTTCTCTTTGTATTTGACATAATGAACTCGACTGCCTTAGGGGCAGTTAGGTCCATGCACTCTAGCTGGTATGAAACTTTTGGATTGCATTACAAAATTATGCAGGTTCCAGATTCATACATTCATATCGAAGTAGAGCTATGTGTAGTCTATGAAGAGATATATATGCTTTTGAAATTTTGGTATGAGGTTATAGTTTGTGTATGCAATTAGCCCCCTGCTACCCCAAAACTCGTGAATGTTATATCCTTTGCAAAGATTTAATTCGTCTCAATAAATCGAGTATTCACTTGCACGCTGATCTCTAACAGGGTGAAAATACCAAGTATAAATCTTACAAAGTTACCTTACATACTTCAATTTTAGTATAATTATGACTTCAGGTTCCAATCAAAATATCCATATATACCTCATGGATTGTTTGAATGAAACTTTTGTAAAATGAGACATTTGACTTAAAATGAGATATTTTAGAAAATTCATCCCATGAGATAGACTATTATAAGCGTTTCGGAGACATTTCACAATGTCTCGTGCCAGTTGTCTTATGTTATCTTCACTTTCCAAAGCAAGACAAATCATTTTGAGACAGTTACTCTAATTATCTAATTAAAATATCCCTCTAAACGACCCGTCTCAAAGTATTCAGCCGAGTTTTGGAAGAAACATGTTGAATGGTGAACTATAAAGGCACATTAAATAGTATGAATTGATATGCATATGACTTGAAATCTCCAATGGCCTCAAACTTGACAAAAGAAGAAGTTGTCATAGGCATAATTCCATTGAGGAATTGGAGGGACAGCCACCAAGTTACATGCATGAATCATGATTAAATAAGATGGGGGGAAGAAGAAGTACTAGTACTACTTGACTTCACTAAAATCAACAAAGCTTATGAAGCAACATAAAGCTAGCTAGCTAGCCCTAAAGTGAAACCCAAAGAATCTTGCTAAAAGCTATGTAATGGAGTGTAGTTTTACATGCATCACTAATGGAAGTGTGTGTGCTTTTTGATCATTAAAATAAAACACAAAACAATTGTATTTGATACCCTAAGAGATAGGTCAATGAGAGGGAACCACATGAAAGCTTGTTACTTTGTTAGCTTCTACTTTGGAATCCTATGTGAATTATTCTATTTAATAATGTGTTTGTCTCAATAAGATTTCCGGCATTGGACCTTCATTAAACTATATTAAGTTAACCTAATCCGTTAATCAAAGTAGCCACCGCATCATAAAATCAAGTAATGGTGGATAGGCAGCTGCCCATCTTAATTAACTATATATAATTATATATATACACGTTTTGGCATTCTATAATTGCCAATCAAATATTGATCATCAGTATTAGTCTATCTTATTCTAGACTAGTTGAATAGTACTATAGCTAGCTATTTCACAAAACTTGTGGTAATCATGACCTAAAGTTCTAGCTCCCTCTAACTATCCTTTTAATTTATTTCTGCGTTGTTTGGCTGCATTATTCTTATTTGGTATTTAAGGCTGATTCTGATGACAAAAAATAAACATGCAATGCACAAAAATTCAGCTCAGGATGCCACATTTCTCACATGTTACATCCGATGACCCATTAAATTATTTAATCATCGAATTCATTCTTTCACATAGAATCTTTAATTAAGAGGTCTCATATTCATATTCTTCTAACCCAGCAGATATAAGCCATCAGTAATACATGCATATGTTAAATTCTAGCGAGAGATATATATGATCGTGTGGACGAATGCAGGCTTATTGGCTTTGCGTCAATTTTGTGAAAGTAAATTTGGAAAATCGGTGCCCGGTGTTTATCCATTAGAGATTAGAGTATAGTATCGTACCCCAAATTCGATTTAATTCAAATTTTTTGTAGATATATCTCACTAGTAATACCTGACGTATAGTATACGGCTGACATACACCAATCTATATACATAAATACTCCACAAGAAATTCGGAATTGAACTGTGAAATTGGTCCAAACATCTATCCGAACGACGACAAAGATCTAGTGGCCTTGAAAGGTGGCAAAAAAAGACGAGGATATACTGGTCCATATATATATATATAGACGTAAGTGCATGGAGCATTGCTTTTTTCTTCTTTTTCTCCGGAGGTAGGAAGCTCGACAGGCAATGGTGGTGGTGTTCAATTTTACAGGACATTATTGTTTCATGTCAAATATTCCTTGGACCACCCTAGCTCCTTTAACACTACTTCAGCTTTAAAGCTAGCTAGCAGTATATCTAAATTATAAACTAAAAATTAAAGAAGCTGCCTTGATATAAGGAAGAATATAATTCTCGTCGTTATGAGCGAAATCTGCTATTACAAAGAACTGTAATGAAATTCTATCTAACTTGGTTATGATTAAATATTAATCATGAGAATCAAATTTCTTTTAAATCATTGTTGACACGAGAGTGTTCGTACGAGAAAACAAGAGGTGGAGATATTTCCTTTTCATTAAGGTAAATTAAGAAAGAAGTGGAGGAGCAACACACATAACGGGAGATTGTAACAACGAAAACCCTAAACTGATCAAGAACCCAAAAAGGACACCGAAACCATCATCATAGAGTGCTTGCTGCTACATGTCCATATTAATAATAATAATAATCAACCAACAGCAGAGAAAATCTCGAAGCTCACAAAATGCTGAAACCATCATCATCATCATCATCAACCTGCCTCCTTATAGCTAGCCTTCCACCATGCAACCATAATTTAATCCTTCTAATTAATAAAGCTTACTCCTTTCGCTCCATTGAAACAAAGTTGGTAGAAATCCAAAAAGAGAAAGAAAAAAAAAACAAAAAGAAGGGACCAAAATTAGCAGAGACCCAGAATAGGAGTAGTGACCAGGACCCATCATTTTGCCCTTCTTATACGATCTAAACTAGCTTGCTAGCAGCAACCCTTCTTCTCTCTTCTGATGCTTCCAACGGTGAGCCTGAAAAAATTTCAAGTCACGAAATCATTAAATCGTGCTAATAGTATATACTATACATACCCTTGTTGCAAATTCTCATTAAATTATTGTAACACTATGATAAGGGCATATCACAAATATGAACTTGAGTCGATGTAACAGACCGGTACAATTGAATATCAGATGCTCACGAGATTTTACAACAATATTGTATGTGGAAAATAAACATTACGTACCCAAAAATGCATGGGGAAGTTTTTTTTTTTTTTATTGGTAACGGCTTAATAAGGAGACTTGTTGCCGGCGCCGGCAATGGAGGCTTCCCTTGGCGCATTGCATCGGTAGCACTCCGTCCTACTCGCAAAGTTGTGTTCGTTGCACCCAACCCTATAATATAAAAAAAAAAATACATTGAAGTGAATTTAACGCTGTGAATAGTATAGGTGCCTAACTGTAATTAACCAAACGTATACCTAGCGCAAATCCAGTCACCAGATTTCCACCCGGAGCGGCTGCTTCCACCGCCGCCGCCGGCTGCTGCGAAGCCGTAGCCTCTCATGCGAGACATGTCGCCGTCGAAGCCGCCGCCGGCGGAGGATTCGTCCTTGGAAGCAGCGCACTTGAAGCAGCTGGAGCGGCTGGCGAAGTTGTGGGCTCCGCAGTTGCCGACGGTGCAGTACCAGTCCCCGGGCCTGACATCCGGCCCAGCGAACCCGAACGAAGCGGGCCCACCTCCCATGGGCCTACCCCCTCCAAAGCCGCCAAACGGGTCGACCACTCCGCCGCCGCCGCCGGATCCGGGCCTGGGCTCGCCGCATCGCTGGCAGGAGTCCCGACGCTGGAAGTTGAGGTGCTGGCACGCCCTGCAGTTCCAGTCCCCTGGTCTACTCATCTGGCGCAGAACAAAAAAAAAAAGAAAGAGAGGAGAATACGTCATTTTTCATTAGAGGAAACCATTAACGTTTTGAAACCAGAGTGTGATGGATGTTCTCATACGACGATAATGCTATCGTCTTACCTTGAGTCGAGCTGAGATGAATCGGAAGTTAACGAAGGTGGGAATGATGTAGGAGTAATGAAGCTAGCTAGCTAGAGGGATAAGTGGGTAGGGAGTTTGGGGTGGGGTTTATTTATATATACACTAACACGACATGGAATGAGAATGGAAATGAATATAAGCCTCGAGAAATGGAGCAGAGATTTTGGAGACAGTGGAGTTTACGTTACGTTGCAGCTCATCAGCTTTGGTGTAGTGTACTCTTTGAGAGTGAGATATTGAGAGAGAGAGAGAGAGCTTTGCTTTGTTTCTTTTTACATAATATTCTTTTTCACTTTGGGGTGGGTTGGCCTTGGCCTTGGACAAAGGAATCACTAGGGACTATAATTAGATGAATAAAGATACAGTGAGTGAGAGAGAGAGAGAGGGGCAAAATAAAGTTGTAATTTTGAAAATCAAGATTCTCATACTTGAAATTTCAGAAACAAATCCTATATAAAAAAAGAAATTTCAGAAACAAAAACCAAGAAAAAGGAAAAGTGAAAGGGGAATTCATTCAACCAAAATTGCGATAAAGTTGTGATAGTTGGCTAAATTGTGTTGAACAGGCTCTCTCTGTCATCTTTTAGGGTTTCTCAGGCAGCACCAGCTGGATATGGATGTGGTGGTGGTGAGATCGATAGGGCATCAACCAAATGTAGAGATTAGGGAACAAGAGAGTGGTGCATGAGAGCGTGGCACATGCTCCCCGATATAAGACTCCATTTTTTTTTTCAATTGTCTAATCGAGATAGCTGAGGCGATGAACTTATTACTATTAAAAGAAGCGTTAAACAATTATCAATAGCCAATAATACATTTCTTTGAATGCATTGAGATTTGGGGTCTTTAAGATCTTTGGTGGTAGCCAATTCAGGTTACACGAGCACCACCTGAAACGATGTCTACCATCGCAAAATCAACTATTCCGAGGTTGACACTAATTATTCGAGATTTGAGGTATCATTTTATCATTCTAAACTCAGAATAATTAAACCCTAAACCCTAATTTTGCAAATGATAAACTCGGGAATCAATTTAATAAAAAACTAACAGTCACATCAGATTTGTATTATACAAAATTAAAACACTCAAAACTTACGATAACTCAAAAGTGATGAAATTGATTTGCTTAGAGGCCGGTGGGATGGATATATGCATGTACATGTAGCTAGTATGCGCCTGACCCCACGAAAAGCTTATATATACATTGCAACCTGAAATCGCAACATATATATAACAACATATTGTAGACAGACAAGCAAGTAAAAGCACAACACTTTTTTGACTGGTTTATATTGGACTTGGGGCCTAACCCTCACAATTAAGCATTCAGGACTGTTCATTTTCCGGCTTCTTTGGCAACAATAAAATCTTTGACTGGCATGGGACGTGACGAAAACAAAAAAGAAACGAAAAGAAAAGGAAGGGAAGGGAATTAAAATTAAAATCGAACCCAGATAGCTAGCTAGCTAGCAATTAGCATGGAGGTCCATTTCCATTCCATGCATGGATCCAGATACCAAAGTAAAGATTTGGGATAAGGAGGAACAAATTTTATTTCCTTTTCCTTTTCCTTCTTTTGTCGCTTCTTAACGAAACCAAAATTCGCTACTTGTTGCCAGACAAATTGAATATTCATTCATTCCGGACTTAGCTAGCTAGCCAGCCATATATCACTGAAATTTTTGTCATAATAATATTCTTCAAGAGTACCCCACAATCCACATCCTGTAATGTTGTTGATTATCTCATCTGCGCCAACACAAAATGAAAGCCAAGTAAGAATAGGAGACGGAGACGGAGACGGAGATATGGCCATCTTAGAGCATCTCCATCCATGCAATTGCAAAAGAAATTGCATTTGTATTTTTTTATTGTCAATTCAAATTTTTTGCAATCAACATCACATTCATTTCACTCACCTACAACAATCCAATTAACTTGCAATTGCAAATGTAATTAAATATTATGTTCAAATTATAGAAAATTAAGTAAAAGAGAAAAGAAAATAATATATAATAAAAAAATCCCCATTTTTTTAGGCTTTTTTGACATACATATGGAATCGCATTTGTTGCAAGCTTGCAAATATGCAATTAGTAGCCACATCAATGCAATTGGTTTTGCAGTTGCAAATATCTATATCATGTCATTTTACAATTGAGAATGCAATACCAATGTGAATGATGTTAAGCGGACCTACAACATGCACTATAAGTTCGGGGGGAAAGATGGCCTTTCACATATCCATATATAATGGTTTTCAACATTCTTAGAGGTGTAAAATTTTATCGAAAATTGTGTCTAACAAGTTAGTATAATACGTTATTTTTGTTTTAAAATTATAGTTTAATTGTTTCATATCATTAAAAGTTGCTTATTGGTTCAGACCCCAGTTAAGAGTTTTTTTTTAATTGGACCAGCAGTACGGTTTCAAAAACACTCAAATATTCCAAAAACAATGCTTAGAAGGTTGGTGATTTGCTCATGGATTTTGGTGATGGATTGTTGTTCGGATCAAACTCTCCTTCAATGAGTCTTTGTTAGAGGTAGGTTAATTATGCTATATATAGAAATTTCTCATTCTGCGTGCACTCTAAGGTACTTTGCGTCCATATTGCAACATTTAGAGATTTTACAAATTTCGATATTAGTACATCAATTGGGTTTCTGGCTTATTAGAATATGTAGTTTAGTTTTTTATATCACAACTCAAATAATACATGCTTCACTACATTCCCCTTGTTGGGAAATGTAATCTAATTTATCCAGAAAAGAAGTAAGTAATTAGAGGAAAGCTAAGTAATCTGGACACGCAGCAGCCAAAATAATCACTTTTACGTTATTCCGACCATTTTTCCTTCATTTGCTAGCTTCTCAGCTTTAATAACTCGACGCTAGTATATGTAGAAATTTCTGAATTGTTAATTAGAGGAAAGTTAAATATTTCATCTCTTTTCTTTTGGAAATAAATTTCATGATATAATCATCGTCATCTTGTGTCACCTTATGAAGTAAATTATTATTTAATGCAGATTAGATTTACTAGAAGTACGTAGCACACAGATATGGAACAGATATCCATAATTAAGCATATATTGGAGTATGGAATAATACGGGATAGCAATTTTTTACTGCGGGGGGTTGCAGGGTTTCACAGTTTCACTCGTGTGTGTGTGTCAGTGTTGGTAATTAGGAGAGGAGATTGAAGAAACAAGTGTTTGTCTTGTGAAGAATTACAAAGAAAAGAAAGATTGAGAAACTATCAAAATTGGCGTTGGATTCTGTTACCATGTCAAATTATTGAACGCACAGAACTAAATTGATTGAAGAAGGTATTGTGTTCGATACGGAGAATGAAGATAAAACATTAATCCATACAATGACTCAATCTATTTCTATTTATACAACTCAACTAACTGAACAAGTTTAACTCCTAACTTATTTAACCGGTTCTGGTGAACTAGTCCTATCTAACCAAGAGGAGAAATGTTATTGTTACCCTCAACATACTTTGAGTTTTTTCTTCTTTTCTATTGTTTGCGAATCCGATAGAAAAATCACTTACGGGAACTCAAGTTGGAGACGATTTTAGCGATATGAAATAGTTAAATCACAGTAATATATATCGTAATGTTTGGTTTAATATATTCTACCACTAACTTTTCTGATATAACCTTCAATATGATTTTACAATTCTTGATGTTTTCTAAATAAATCTTCTCCTCTGATAGTTGCAGTAGGTGGTTAGTTCGGACTTGGGAAGGCTACATATATTGAACGAATATGACAAAAATAGTTCAAAATTTATTACTTCTAGTTAAAATATACCGATCCAAACCCACTAGTAATTGGTTTTGCGTTTTATATAGTCTTAAGAATGGAGGATGATAAATGAAGTAGTGATAACGTGAGACCATATCGTAATTTCATATCTTGATGACATTTTCGGTAAAAATAAGCAATGATTAATGGAATACTGTACTATACCGGCCGGAAAAGTCAGCAATAGGATATTTTATGCTAAAACCGTGGTTCAACCGCTCATACCGTTAAATACCGCTGGTACGGTACAGTATTTTCTGGTCGAACCGTCGGTATGATACAGTATTTCAATCCTTGAAAATAAGTGAAGAGTGAAGACTGAAGAGGGAAGGGGTTGCATGGGAAGGGGTGGGAGGGAATATTATTGGATTTTGGGGAGGGGAGAAACATGGAAATGGTAAGAGTTTCGATAAAGATGGTGGTGTAAGGGGAAGTTTGATGCTCTTGAATCTTGATGATGATAGAAGACAGAGAAGCCTCCCTTCCTCTTCCAGAGGTTCAAAATCTTGACCCAATTTTGTTGATTTTGTTTTAACTTTTAAGTTTTGGTTTATACACACAGTACCCTTTTCCTTTTTCTTTGCTCCTTAATGACTTTTTCTCTGTCATTTTCCTTTTTTCCCTCTGCTGGAATTTAGTTCGGTTCTTCTTTCTCTTCGAAATTAAGTAAAGGAGAACTTTTGGCAGAGGGCACTAATTTAAGTTCAATTTAATTAAACAGGCTTTGTGAAAAGTGGGAGGTGAAGAGAAAACATGAAAGCCACCATTTTGCCTTGGGGAGTGGTAAAGAAAGGTCTCCCTCTCTCTCTGTCTCTGCTGTGGAAAAGCAGCTAGCAAATAAAAAGAAGCAAAAACATTAGTAGTAGGAGACTGGACAACAGACAGAAGAGAACTGATTCGATTCTCTTATTATCGGGAAGTGCTTCAATTCCATGCAAACTACTCATACACCAACGTATACTTACTTCCCTTTTCCTTTTTACCCTCTTTCTCCAAGCAACAAGCCAACTCATCATCTTCCTGAGTTCATAATTAATTTCCTTATACAATCAAATACCCACTTTACCAATTCCATGCACTTAATTGTTCTGCTTCTTGTAACTTTAGTTTTGTCGCGGTCCCGTCCCTTATCCTAAAATCAAATCTGTAAGCACTTCCTTTGCTCAAGAGATTGTGTTTGATTTGAATCTCCGTATTTGAGCATACGAGAGCAGAGGATACATAATTTTATCTCAAGAGATTGAGACTCTTATTCGAAGAACTGAAGATTGGCCAAAATCCTCGCATTTCCAAATCCCATGGGAAGAGGTGGTGATCATGTTCGTGGGGTTCACACATCATCCTCACCATGTGCATTTGAAATGTATTCATTTGAACTGATGTGCATTGGAAGTAAAATGAATTCATCTTCTAAAACCACACCTTCAAACACCATATTTTTTAAATGATGTTTTATGTTACCATTTAAAATTCA